AAGAGACATATTAAATTTATAGAAGAAATAATGAGGAAAGAGGACCAAGAGAATTTAATGCTCACAGGAGATACTGAAGTCTTTAAAAGACTTGGCATATAAAAGAATTGAAACCTTGTTATTGCAATCTTTTGTTAAATAAAACCATCTTTTGGTGACTTCAGTAATATAAAGGAAGTTGAATGCAAATTATACTTGAATAATACATTGATGGTCAAGCTTTCTTAGAATTCAATGCATCCTGGCTATTGAATACATTTTTTATTCAATCTAAATTTGAAATTGGTTCAGGTTTCAAATGTTATGAATATCCTTAGGCAATTTCCTTGTCAATATTCTCTAATGTAACCCAACTTGAGATGATCTTTAAGTTACATGAATATTTTAAACAGTTCTATATACTTTGGCAGTCATCTTGTTTTGGTTCTTCTTTCTCAACAATGAGGCCAGTAATGATATTGACTCAGCAAAAGATTGGGGGCAACTAGAGAGAATCAAACATGCTATCCATTTTTCCCTCTATGTCAAGATAACCAAGACTAGGCTCTGACAAATTTGATTTTATATATATATATATATATATATATATATATATAGGAGGCACGATGGAGTAATGGATAGCAGCTTGGATTGAGGAATCACAGAGCCGAGTTTGAATTCCAGTCAAATCCATTACATTCACTTACGTGCTAATACCCTTGGGAAAGGTATGAATCCTCTTCCTCTAGCTATGGGTAAAATAACAGGACAGACTGGGTTCTATAGCCTTGGATGGAAACTGGTCTAAAAGAAGGACAACTCTGAATTCAAAACCTGTGGAGAGTCGTTAGGGTAGCTTGTGGCAATTAGTGCACCAGTTCTCAGTATTCATCCCTTCAAAAAGTGTGGATGGTCCTGCACGAAGCCTTCACCACTATAATCAAATCTCATGTGCCGTTGTAGGGCTGTTGGTTTCCTGGAAACTGATTTGCTTGACCCTCATACGTCAAATTTGACGGGAGAGTCGACTATATATATATATATATATATATATATATATATATATATTTGCAGGTCTGATGAATTGGATCATGATTACGATTCCAATGTAATAAATTATAACCATGGAATATTATTGTTTGAGCCTTTTATATTATATTCTTGCTGTCTTGCACATAGAGCTCTACTTGGATTTTTATCCTCTTAGAAATATATATTGACCACTATTATCTCTCTCTCTTATATATATATATATATATATATATATATATATATATATATATATATATATGATGATGAATGTAAGCCAACAACTAACACCCACCCCTCCTCACACCATAACCTTGGTTACATACACATAGGTGAATGCTAAAATAAACCCGGCCAAAGCGGCATATGAAAGAAGTAACACGATTGGCTGAGAACAACCAGTGAGCAGAAAATTTAGGTGCCAAAAGAAGAGACAAACGAGGTGATTCGAAAAGTGAGTAGCTGGCCAGATTGTGACGGGTGAAGACATATCAACTGCAACTCTGAGAAAGTAAGCTGTGACCACACATCCCCTGAGGCAGAAAAGTGAATCAGACTGTTCCCAGTGCTGAGAACATGAAGAGATTGTCCAGCGCAGTAGGCCATAGCAACTCTGAACATAGTTACATAAAGAAGAAAATCCGGCTGCAGACCAGAAGTGAAGATACAAACCAGATTGAAAATATAACCCCCGGTCACCAAAAAGAGAAGGAGAAAAAAGACTATTATAGTGAAGCTGTTCCTTTAATCACAAAAACATCAGATAAGTTCTTACATCCCTTCCCCAATATAGATTTAGCTCGTAACAGATACACGAATATTATGTTCATGCAAACACCATTAGACATGTATGATTAGAATATTAATGAATGTCCTGTTATATGTGTTGGGTCTTGCATTTGTCATCCCTCATCATCTCCCAATGTTGGATAGAGATAACATTTTATACAACCCCCTCCTGCTATTGTCATTCACCCCTTCTTTTTGTTCATTAAATTATTATATATGTTAATGTCCTTTGCTTCGTTCCTCTTTGGTCTGTGGTCAGTTGAATGTGTTACTGAGGGAACCTGGAAATATTAATTTCAATTAGTTCTAATTGAACTAACATTTACTTTTTGTTATAATCTTTATCTATTCTGCCGATAATCCTTCAGTGCAAGGGAAGCAACCCTAGCCCTTATTCTGGGAATCTTTAACGATATGTTAATCAAAGAAATAAGAAGGAATTACCGTGGCAGGATATATTGATCCTAACCAGGTGTTACTATCTATCCCTGTGGTGGCAACGCTCTGGGGAGATCTATGATTATATATATATATATATATATATATATATATAAAAATGAGGTGGATATAGAAATCAGTACTGTTTGGTAACTTGCTTAAGTAATCTTATTGCTATATATGTTAAAATTAGTGAGTATATCTGTTTGAATTGATGTCTCTGTTGTTTTAACTATATTTTTGTCTGAATTCAAACCAACTGCTGCCTAGTAAGTCCTATCTCTTTAGGCAAAACCTACAAGAATGTAACTTTAAAAACAAATCCACCTTGCATGTCATCTCTAACGAAGAAACTGGCCTCCTTATTTTGAGCCATGACAGAAAATAAGGGGCTTTCAGACTTAGTACAGGGCTATGGACCTACCTCTCTGATTTCAGACCATTCACCCATGGTTGTATCACCCATACCACTTTAAATAACAATATTTTTGTACACTGGCCTGCTGTTTTTTATAGTCTTTTCATAAAGAAAATGTGTCCTTCAATAGGATTCAAATCTGCATCTTTCTTAGGGGAAATCACCATGTCACTTGGCACGCTTTTAGACTAACTTCACAGCAAAGCAAGGTTGAATTATCCTTGTGAAGGAAACATATTTCTGATTAAGATCTTTTGAATCCATGTCTGTTAACTTTTATTTTTCCTTCAGAAATATAACATTATTTTTGAAAGAATTAATGGATTTTTTTATCCATAGTCTGACATTTTTTCTTATTAGTGTATATGTTAGATACACATGTTTAAGTCTGTAGATTCATACATTTCAGAGGGGTACTTGCAAATACATGTAAATGTAACACTCTCCGGGAATTTGAACTCATCTGTATGATTTTCTCATTCTTAGCCCCCTATCCATTACAAATCCACACATACTTTTTGTCCATGATTCTAATCAGGAAATAAAAGTGCAATCTGTAGAAAAAGCTTGTTTGCTTTGGTTGGCAGTCTTTTCTAGAAGAATGATCATTCTGATTTCTAAACTTGTGTAAATGGTGACTCCTTAGACCTTTGATAACATCCCTTCAGCCTTGTGAAGATGTGTGTGTGATATAGATCAACAGGAGTTACCTCTCTTGATGATGATTGTCTCCCTTGAAAGAACTCCTCTCCCTCACTTAGATACTATAAATAAGCAGTCTAGCCATGCCTTCCCATTCAAACTCAATAAAGTTTACTTAAATCTTATCCTCTGAGTTGTTATTACAGTGTATTATACAGGGTATGATGGATAAATTGTCATCTAAATTATGCAACAACGAAAATCACACTGACATCTTAAGAGATGTATTTACCAAAATTACATAAAAATATCTTGAAATACTAAAAATAAATTTATTCTAGCTTTGGAATCTCTATTTGGTTTAGCCAAAAAGTTTTCAAATTCTGTGATGCTTCAGGATGTAGGCAATCAGGTCTTTCCCAAACTTACTATCCTTTGTAGCTCTTGGCAGTGTTTGTCTTTTTACTGAATCTGTTCTTCTCTCTGTTCTGACATCCTACACAAGTTCATTAGGTAAGTTATTATTTCACTCTATCTCTCAATATGCTTTAAGTGTCAAATTTTCCTTATTTGACCAAGAACTTTTAACTGTCTTTTTCTGATTCTAATTAATAATATAATTTTTATTTCCATTTTCCTTAAAATTTGATTGAATATGCTTGTAAAACTGGTTTTGAGTAAGATTCAGCACTTTAAAAAATGAGGAAGACAAAAATCATCAGTATTCAGGAATTAAAGCAAATAATTCTGACAGAAGTATAAAGAGTATAATGAAAATACATTACAGATGATTTATTGTAGAAATTTGTTAAAAGGAATTGCCAACAGTCAGGAATTAATGTGTTACTGCACAGTGGAGTCATGGATAGCATCTCAGACTGAGGAATTGGAGAGCTGGATTCAAATTCCAGTCAAATCCATTACATTCACTTATCTGCTAATACCCTTGGGAAATTTGTGATAGCTCTTCTCCCCCAGCTATGGGTAAGATAGCAGGACAGACCAGGTTCTTTAGCCTTGGATGTCAACTGATCTACTGCAGATAGAAATGGCAACCTACTGCAGGAAAAAATCTGTCGCATCAGTCATATATTGAAAGATACATGATCACCTAAGCATGTATCACGCATGGCACATAACTGTCTCATGCTTGTCTATGTACTGCAGCCATGACAGTAGTGGTGTGTTTAGGGCAGGATAATTTGGTGAAGTCCATCCTTCTTCAGGCTGATTTTGAATTTGGTTTTCTTCTCCTAGACTGGTTGCTACCTCAAGGGAAAAGAGCATAGATAACCCTGCTATTTAACCCATAGCTGAAGAGAGAAGAGATTTATACTTTTCCTAAGTGTATTTATTTGAAAGTGAACATGATAAACTTGGCTGGGATTTAATACATATGGTATCACCTACAAATGAGTACACTCTACAGGTTTTTTCTTTCTCCTTTTTATAGGAAGATAAACATTTTATCTGAAATTTTAACTGTAATGTTTATTCTCTGTAATTAATGGAGAAGTGATAGTTAATCTTCTTCCTTGATAATGCACTTAGGTTGAAATAAAAATTTGTTGTGTCAGATATTTCTTTTATCATCATTCTGCAGACTCATTGATGTACATAAATATATAAAGGGTGTGGCAAGAATACCTCCCACATAATGGTAAGATATTAGCTAGATGAAAAGACCATTTCCGCTAATACTTACAGCCACATCATGTGAAAACACCAGTTCTTGTATGATTACCAAAGTTAAGCAATGTTGAGCCTAGTCAGTACCTAGATGGGTGACCTCTTGGGAATACCAGGTGCTGTAAGCTTGGATGTGAAGGTGGATAATGGCTCAGAATTGTGAATATGTAGGCCGAGTTCCAATTCCAGTTGGGTTTTTTATATTCACTTACAGGCAAATACCCTTGGGAAATGTATGAACCCTCCTATTCTATAAGCTAATTAGTAAGATTTGTAACATCTTCAAAAAAGAAATTCTTACAAACTACGTTCTGGCTTTAAATAACCTGTAAAGGGTTAAGCCATAGAAGACAAATTAATCAATTAATAATTGCTGCTAATGTCTTGTGGGAGATATTTCTGCCACAGTCTGTATAATCTAAATGTATTTCTCATAATTTTAATCTGGATAAACAAGAGAAATGATGAAGAAAGGAATTTTCAGTGACCAAGAATAATTGTAAGGATTACAAACAAATAGGGTTCATATAAGTTGATATGAAGAGAATAAGTTACTAGCCAATGACTTCAATGTAAAGTACACTCTTCTTAAGAATTAAACTGTTTTAAGCCAATCAGAATATAAAGTTCTTTGGGTCCAAACTATTTTAGTAAATCTTGAAGCAGAAATGGTTTTATAGCAAGTGAAACTGTCTGGATATTGTTTTCTTTTTAGTCTTTGTTTTCTCCATGTCTGTTTGGGATATGGTCCAAGTTCTTGTCAGTTACTGCAGCACCATTCCTTCACACAAACAATAGTCTCCCACAATGCTGCTTCAATCATGAAGATAAAATAATGACAACATGATCAATATTATAGCAGCAGTATCATCTCATAAATAATTGTTTTCTGTCTTTGATGTAGTCACACAACAATGAACATTATTGAAGCAATCTCATTGAAGGAGAAAATATTGTTCATTTATGTGAAATTTTAAGTAGTTTATCTACATTCTGATTTTTTTTAAAGTACTTGAGAGGTTTATTTTATTTATTACCAAAGTAAATTTTGGATATATATTATTGAATCATTGCTATTGTTATCTGCATCTGCAGAAAACCACTATTCATACTGCATGACATGTCCATCCAAATACTGTAAGCATATTTTATTTCTAGGGTCAGGGGTCCCCAAAGTGTTCAATTTCGGTGTTGATAAATGCTTGGGGGATCAAAAGGAGACTGATAAATAAATGGTGGCGCCATGCAATGAATATAGCTACCAAATCTCTCTCTCTCTCTCTCTATATATATATATATATATATATATATATATATATATATATATTTCCACACACACATATATACATATATATACATATATATTCACATATATATATATATATATCTATTATATATATATCCAATTATAGTGTAGACGGAATAAAGTCCAATAACCAAAAATACTATTCTTAAAAAAGTGCTCAATACAGAGTAGACCAAATATTGTTTATTCAAAATTATAACATAAACATATTTATAACATCACTACAAAAATAGCAGTTTTTCTTTCAACACTTCTGGTGTCTTATCAAATGATGGTGTGAATGTAACACCATCTCTTGATAAGACTTCAGAAGTGTTGAAATAAAATAGCTATTTTTGTAGTGATGTTATAACATGTTTATGTTATAATTTTCGAGTAAAGAAAAATTATATCAAAATTTTTGACAAAATCCAAAGCAGTGTCTAACTTTATCAGTCCTGACATATCAACTTCAGTCACTTTCCACCATTTTAATGTGGCTTCCCATGTCTTTTCTATAAGGTAATTGTACTAATTGTATTCCTCTCCTTGGTGCCTTGACTGCATGAATTTAAGTATAATACTGAATTGGCAAGTTGGTCTCATGATTTTACTATTGAAATACCTAGTTTTAACCACAAGTTCTATTCTAATAGTTTTTTCCTTACACTTCTTGCCTGTGAAACACTCTTCTAGTTTCTTGCTCCCATGTCACCTACGATCTTCAAAAATTTAAATGCAATGTAACTGGGTTTACATTTCCTTATAATGTCTACTTTAACTCTTTACTTCTGATAACTACACCTAAACTGTGAAACTTATTTTTTTCCTCAATAGGAGTAGATAGATTTGCCTATTGTCCAGTTCACACTTTTCTGAATGGAGTAGAGGTTTACCTCTTGCATTCTGTTTAGGATTAGGTTTCCAGTTCCTTCTAAAGTATTCTCATTCTTTTTCCTTCCCAGTAGCCTCTGTTGTCTTAGTGGCATTATTGCCTTACTTAGACTGAATTGATTAAAAAAAAATCACCACCTTCTGTCTTTCTGCAACCTGTTCTTTCATTGTCCTTTTTCCTCGTAAGCATCTTCTCATCCTTTTTGATTCTCAGTAACCCCTGGTGACTTAGTGACATTATTGCAAAACTATTAACATCAAAAGATTTAAAGCAAAAATTTATCAATTTCCACCCAAATATCACTGTCTTTACTACTACTCATCAAATACTTCCCATTAATGATGCTGAACAGTTGGATAAAAAAAAGTAGGTTCATTAATTTTGCAGGCTCTCATTACCTATATTATGAAGTTGGCCTTATTATTTGAACAAATATGTCTTGTATAGGAAGAGAAATAGAAATTATAAAAGGAATAACAAAACAAAGTTAAAAGAAATCTTATTGAGAGAAAATCTCTCTCTCTCTCTCTCTCTCTCTCTCTATATATATATATATATATATATATATATATATATATATATATATATATAAAGTTGTAGCCTCTGTCTGTTATCAAACTCCTACTAGGGTTTTGGAGATAGACCCCGTAACCGTATATATTCTGAAACTACATTACCCAGGGTACTTGAATAAGTATACAGTGAAGCCTCAATCCACAAATTTAATTTGAAGAATTAAAGAAGCATTATTGAAGACTGTTCATAACCTGAAAAGTTTGTAAACTGAAATTATTTTTCCAATAGGAATCAATGTAAAGAAAAAAGTCACAGTACAATAAAATTGGAAAAGAAAAGCATGCCAAAACACATGAATATATACAAAATGGTGGTCAACTCAGAAATTATTCTGTTCGTATTAACTCAGTTTGGCAATGTTATTTGAGAACTGAAATTTTGTTTGATAACCAAGGCATTTTCATCTTGAATTTTCTGTTATCCTTTATAGCTCTTATCAGTGTTTGTCTTTTTACTGCATCTGTTCTTCTCTCTGTTCTGACATCCTACACAAAGTTTATTAGGTAAGTTACTCACTATTTCACTATTATTTCTGTTTCATTTTGATCAAAGTGGGTCCCCTGGGGATGCAAACATCCCACTGAAATTTTTTTTCCCTTTGATATAAATTACATTTATATTTAAACAAGGGAATGACTCTTAGGGTACTTGGATAAACATATTTCATTTTGATCAAAGATAGACCCCGAGGGGCATACCCCTCAACCGCTGAAACTTTTTTTCCCTTTGATATAAATTAAATTTAAATTTGAACAAGGGAATGATTCCTATCCAAAATATAGGAGAAAGCAAGAAGATGGAAGTCACATCAGCAAATTCAAAATGAGACAATATGGATGTCAATTGGGTAGTGCTTTATAATGAACATTTGTTGTGACAATTCAACTGTCATATCAATGTTGAAATCAGCTCATCAATTCGTTCAATCAAGTATTGCATCAAATAAATATCCAAGGGGTCAGATCAAGCTGTTTTTCGCACACACCTCTCATTGTAATTTTTTTTGATTTAAATTAAATTTAAATTTGAACAAGGGAATGACTCCTATCCAAAATATAGAAAGAGAAAGCCAGAAGATGGAGGTCACATTAGCACAATCATTGAGTAATAGTGAAAGGCATCATTTTTCTCAACATTCATTTTCTTACAAAAAATGTGTGACACAAAGCAAGGCTCAGGTAATGAAATAAAAGGGTAAAGCAATTCTTCTATGTGCCATGTCCCTTCAGGGCAGAGACAATCATGGCTTTCTACAATTTCTTGTTCTTTGGAACTCAATAATTTGTCTTTTTGCTATCTCTCCAAAACTTTGTTCTATCATACATTTACTCAAGCTCACTAGTTAGGCTATGCATTGTTTTCCTCTACCTCTCTCGACTTTAATTTGTTTTCTGAGTATCAGAATTTCCAAACCCTCTTTCCTTATTATGTACCCCAGAAATATCAACTTTCTCTTTCTATGTTAAATATAGGTGTCCTTTTTGTTTCCATTTTCTTTAAAACTTTGCTGTTGCTCACACAATTAGTCTATAGTATTCTTAGCATCATTCTGTAGAACCACATTTATGTTGTTTAAAGTCTTTTTATCTTTGGAAAGATTATCCAGTATTCACTGCCTTATAGGAGGACTGATATTACATAAGAGTTTAGTGCTCTATACAGTGTTTCTAATGAAAATTTCCTGTCACTTAATACTTTGCTTAACTTTTGGAAGGTATCATTCACTATCACAGCGTGTCTTTGGATTTCAGTGTCACACTTTCCGGCCTCTGTTAGAACACTTCTCAGATATTTAAATTTTCATACTTGTTTGATTTTGGTATCCCCAATTTGTGATTTTCATTTTGGTCTGTCTCTTTTACTAACAACCATGCATTCTCTTTTCTTGCAATTGAGATTTAGTTCCGTCTGATTTTCCTTCACTATTTTCTGGAGGAGTTCTTGTAGATTCATATTGGTGTCTCTGCACTTGGAAAAAAAATTGTTATGGATATATATTTTTTATCTGAGAATGGGGTCAATGAGAGATCAAGAATTCCATGAAGTGGGTTGATGCTCTACAAAGTTTGGGGACCACTATCTTAGATAAAGCATTGTCAGTTTGGTAAGTATTTTTAAAGTATTAATAATCAGGAAAATATCACCAGTGAATCTCTCTTCTTGTTTCTTGCTTCCTGCTACATTCTTAAAAAATTTAAATTCAATGTCAGTCACCATCTTCTCTCTATTATTCTGTTCTTTTATTGTCCTTTTTTTCTAACTAAAGTCTTCTCATTGACTTTCACTCTTAGTAAACCCTTGCAACTTAGTGGCATTATCAGGTTGAAAATGGTGTTGAAAGTTTGGGGTCCACTGTCCTAGATTAAGCAT